TGTGTTTTTGCTGGTATACCACTGTTATACTGTATCCTTTGATGATTGTTCGTCCTTGCTGGTATACTACTGCTATACTATATCCATTGGTGGTTGTTTTTCTTTGCTTGTATACCACTGTTATACTGTATCCTTTGATGATTTATTGTCCTTACTGGTAAACCACTGTTATACTATATCCTTTGATGATTGTCCTTGCTGGCATACCACTGTTATACCGTATCCTTTGATGGTTGTTTGTCCTTATTGGTATACCACTGTTATACTGTATCCTTTGATGAGTGTTTGTCCTTATTGGTATACCACTGTTATACTGTATCCTTTGATGGTTGTTTGTCCTTACTAGTATACCACTGTTATTCTGTATCCTTTGATGATTGATTGTCCTTGCTGGTATACCCCTGTTATACTATATCTTTTGATAGATGCTTGTTCTTGCTGGTATACCACTGTTAAACTGTATCCTTTGATGACTGTTTGTTTTTGCTGGTATACCACTGTTATACTATATCCTTTGATAGATGCTTGTTCTTGCTGGTATACCACTGTTATACTGTATCCTTTGATGATTGATTGTCCTTGCTGGTGTACCACTGTTATTCTGTATCATTTGATGATTGTTTGTCCTTGCTGGTATACCACTGTTATACTGTATTTTGGTGGTTGTTTGTCCTACCTGTTATACCGTATCCTTTGGTGGTTGTTTGTCCTCCCTGTTATACCGTATCCTTTGGTGGTTGTTTTTCCTACCTGTTATACCGTATCCTTTGGTGGTTGGTTGTCCTACCTGTTATACCGTATCCTTTGATGGTTGTTTGTCCTTGCTGGCATACCACTGCTATACTGTATCCTTTGATGGTTGTTTGTCCTTACTGGTAAACCACTGTTATGCTTTATCCTTTGATGGTTGTTTGTCCTTATTGGTAAACCACTGTTATAATGTATCCTTTGATGGTTGTTTGTCCTTACTGGTAAACCACTATTATACTGTATCCTTTGATGAGTGTTTGTCCTTATTGGTAAACCACTGTTATACTGTATCCTTTGATGGTTGTTTGTTTTTGCTGGTATACCACTGTTATACTGTATCCTTTGATGATTGTCCTTGCTGGCATACCACTGTTATACCGTATCCTTTTGTGTTTGTTTGTCATACCTGTTATACCGTATCCTTTGATGGTTGTTTGTCCTTGCTGGTATACCACTGTTATACGGTATCCTTTGATTATTGTTTGTCCTTAGTGGTAAACCACTATTATACTGTATCCTTTGATGATTGTTTGTCCTTACTGGTATACCACTCTTATACTGTATCCTTTGATGGTTGTTTGTCCTTGCTGGTATACCCCTGTTATTCTGTATCATTTGATGATTGTTTGTCCTTGCTGGCATACCACTGTTATACTGTATCCTTTGATGATTTATTGTCCTTACTGGTAAACCACTGTTATACTATATCCTTTGATGATTGTTTGTCCTTGCTGGTATACCACTGTTATACGGTATCCTTTGATGATTGTTTGTCCTTACTGGTATACCACTATTATACTGTATCCTTTGATGGTTGTTTGTCCTTACTGGTATACCACTGTTATTCTGTATCATTTGATGATTGTTTGTCCTTGCTGGCATACCACTGCTATACTGTATCCTTTGATGGTTGTTTGTCCTTACTGGTAAACCACTGTTATACTGGTCCTTACTGGTAAACCACTGTTATACTGTATCATTTGATGGTTGTTTGTCCTTGCTGGTATACCCCTGTTATTCTGTATCATTTGATGATTGTTTGTCCTTGCTGGTATACCACTGTTATAATGTATCCTTTGATGGTTGTTTGTCCTTGCTGGTATACCACTGTTATTCTGTATCATTTGATGATTGTTTGTCCTTGCTGGTATACCACTGTTATTCTGTATCATTTGATGATTGTTTGTCCTTGCTGGCATACCACTGCTATACTGTATCCTTTGATGGTTGTTTGTCCTTACTGGTATACCACTGTTATTCTGTATCATTTGATGATTGTTTGTCCTTGCTGGCATACCACTGCTATACTGTATCCTTTGATGGTTGTTTGTCCTTGCTGGTATACCCCTGTTATTCTGTATCATTTGATGATTGTTTGTCCTTGCTGGCATACCACTGTTATACCGTATCCTTTGGTGTTTGTTTGTCATACCTGTTATACCGTATCCTTTGATGATTGTTTGTCCTTGCTTGCATACCACTGTTATACCGTATCCATTGGTGTTTGTTTGTCCTACCTGTTATTCCGTATCCTTTGGTGGTTGTTTTTCCTTCCTGTTATACCGTATCCTTTGCTTGTTGTTTGTCCTTGTTGGTATACCGTATCCTTTGGTGGCTGTTTGTCCTACCTGATATACCGTATCCTTTGATGGTTGTTTGTCCTACCGGTTATACCGTATCCTTTGATGGTTGTTTGTCCTACCGGTTATACCGTATCCTTTGATGGTTGTTTGTCCTACCGGTTATACCGTATCCTTTGATGGTTGTTTGTCCTACCGGTTATACCGTATCCTTTGATGGTTGTTTGTCCTACCGGTTATACCGTATCCTTTGATGGTTGTTTGTCCTTGTTGGTATACCGTATCCTTTGGTGGCTGTTTGTCCTACCTGATATACCGTATCCTTTGATGGTTGTTTGTCCTTGTTGGTATACCGTATCCTTTGGTGGCTGTTTGTCCTACCTGATATACCGTATCCTTTGATGGTTGTTTGTCCTTGTTATACCGTATCCTTTGGTGGTTGTTTGTTCTACCTGTTATTCCGTATCCTTTGGTGATTGTTTATCCTACCTGTTATACCGTATCCTTTGATTGTTGTTTTTCCTTCCTGTTATACCGTATCCTTTGATTGTTGTTTTTCCTTCCTGTTATACCGTATCCTTTGCTTGTTGTTTGTCCTTGTTGGTATACCGTATCCTTTGGTGGTTGTTTGTCCTACCTGTCATACCGTATCCTTTGGTGGTTGTTTTTCCTACATGTTATACCGTATCCTTTGATGGTTGTTTGTACTACCTGTTATACCGCATCCTTTGGTGGTTGTTTTTCCTACCTGTTATGCCGTATCCTTTGGTGGTTGTTTTTCCTACCTGTTATGCCGTATCCTTTGGTGGTTGTTTTTCCTACCTGTTATGCCGTATCCTTTGGTGGTTGTTTGTCCTACCTGTCATACCGTATCCTTTGGTGGTTGTTTTTCCTACCTGTTATGCCGTATCCTTTGGTGGTTGTTTGTCCTACCTGTCATACCGTATCCTTTGGTGGTTGTTTTTCCTACATGTTATACCGTATCCTTTGATGGTTGTTTGTCCTACCTGATATACCGTATCCTTTGATGGTTGTTTGTCCTACCGGTTATACCGTATCCTTTGATGGTTGTTTGTCCTTGTTGGTATACCGTATCCTTTGGTGGCTGTTTGTCCTACCTGATATACCGTATCCTTTGATGGTTGTTTGTCCTTGTTGGTATACCGTATCCTTTGGTGGTTGTTTTTCCTCCCTGTTATACCGTATCCTTTGATGGTTGTTTGTACTACCTGTTATACCGCATCCTTTGGTGGTTGTTTTTCCTACCTGTTATGCCGTATCCTTTGGTGGTTGTTTATCCTACCTGTTATACCGTATCCTTTGATGGTTGTTTTTCCTTCCTGTTATACCGTATCCTTTGATTGTTGTTTGTCCTTGTTGGTATACCGTATCCTTTGGTGGTTGTTTGTCCTTGTTAGTATACCGTATCCTTTGGTGGTTGTTTTTCCTACCTGTTATACCGTATCCTTTGATGGTTGTTTGTCCTTGTTGGTATACCGTATCCTTTGGTGGCTGTTTGTCCTACCTGTTATACCGTATCCTTTGATGGTTGTTTGTCCTACCTGTTATACCGTATCCTTTGATGACTGTTTGACCGTGTTAGTAAGGACAATTATGCAAGTTTAGATCGACTTGGTTTTTGACACCGGTGTTGTCCTTGAACAAGAGATTTAACGATTGCCCCTGTTTGGATTGTATTCCATAGGTAACTAAGATGTGTTATTTCTCTTCCTGCGCTGTTTAGGTGAACAAGGAAAATACAACCACAAACACGGCTAGCTGTTTTAATGTTAGATAATATTCCAACGATCTCAATGTATTTTTAAATAAATAAAAAAACATGCAAATAAAAATTCATTTTCTTTAAGATTCTAAACATTTCATTTAAAATAAACTTAAGCATGGTTTAATTTGAGATAAAGTTGTAATAATAGCTAAAACGGCTTGCTTTAGACATGTTCGCCTGCCCTCATGTAGCGCTTGACATAATGAAGTTCAAAAGGGGATCACATAAGTAAGACTGCTTCTAATTGTGTTTATATTTATGTCATTTTTAATGGCCTTACAGTAACTTTCCTGGATTATATAGAGCGGTAAACAAATATTGTACCATGAGCATTATACATTATACAAGATTTCTGGTGCCTGAATGTAGCAAGTTTCGCTCAGAATGAAGTCTGTTCCGAAAATTGTTCTGTTACAATAAAGAAATAAACAGAAACTTAAAAAACCTTCTAACAACTAATCAGAATATCATCACTATGTAAACATCGCATAGCCAATTTATACTCGACTAAATATTTGACAGCGAATAGAGGTCATGGCAGTTTTCACTTGTTGATGGGTAAATATACATGTACGTCAAAAGTGTCTCACAATTAATACCAGCAGGTCATAGAACACTTTAAATATAAAAATGTTTGACCAAGCACGTGGTACCTATATAACAACTAAGTGTAATGTTCCGTAGTGAAGATCAAGGGAAAGTAACACGAATATGATTTGCTTAAAAACTAAAAATACATATTCAAGTGCATAATGTAAGTCAGTTGCATATTGCATTTACACGTCTAAATTAACGACCATCATACGATTGGTGCAATCTTCGCCACAATAACTAGCCATGTAAATCATAATATTTAACTGAAGCTTCTCAATCTCAACGCTTACCTGCACAGATATACAGGAGAGAAAGCACACACACCACTTGTTTGACGTCCATGTTTATACCCAACCACCGTCTCCTGGAAGGCCACGCCTCAGTAAACCTGTCTATGGGTGTGTCTATACGATGTATCTTACGTTTGGTCAATATCTGATGAACGCATTATCGGGAAATCTCATCAGCCCTTGGTTATGATTGTGTTTATGGGCTCCACCTTCGCTGGACAGACCACTGGCCAGATTTATATACACAAAAGCTACTACCTGTATGTGTACTAGCTATATAGATTCACAGACGCTTACCACACAGACTTCACACTGTATTTAACAGACATTTTGCACATATGTCCTCAATTATTCTTTGCTCGTTTCCATTCAGAGGTGAACTGTACTCAAAACACGTATCTTTATCCTTTACGTGAAAGATTAACACTATATATATTCGTTTTCAATTTTGATGTGTATGTATATATTGTTGGCATTATGCATAACTATGCATATACAAATATGTACATTTGCATGGCATTGTCACTATATAGCCTCTTTGAAAGCTGTGTCGTTGATGGGACTTTATTTACCATGCATCACGAGACACAATTCTTAGCGTATTGATACAACTGACCGGAACTACAATATCCAATATAAATAAACATGACGGCTGCTGAAATATCGCTGGGCATTGTGAGATTTGACAATGTCATTGTAAATTTATGTGCAAAATAAAAAATAAAATGAAAAACACTTTTATTACAACGAAAACAAGACCAAGGTCTGCAATATCGTACAAAATGCACATCGGTTGAAATCACCAATGCCGGCAATGGAAACAATTTTAACGCTCATGCAATTCATCAGAAATATCGTCTGTTACACTGCACTGATCAACAGGGGTTCGTTACAAATGCCTGAAATACACATATTTTATAAACCTACTGACACATATGTTACAGACCTACTGATATGAGTCACAGCACACATAAACATTTCAGACATTTGTAACGAACCTGTGCTCCGTCGCAAGATCACTCACTTCAAACGCTATCAGTTTCACGCGTCTCGCATTCACGGTTTCCTCAGTTTCTGACGACATGTCAAATAACGATGCTGTTATAGAATCTACCGACCGTTGTCAGGTTCCCATACAATCAACAAATAAATTCATGCCTGGATTCTTCACAGAGTTCTATTGATAAACTTAAATCACCCTATAGACATACGCAAGTGTATTGATACTGAATTGTGGAATAAAATTGAAATGTTCGTTAAAATTTCAAAGTACTACTTGCCAATCAGTACGCGACAATACCCTGTTCAAACTATTGAACGAAATTGTGTGGACTGTCGATAAGGCGGGCATTTTTAATTTTAAATATCAACTGGGCGACACTATTTTGAACTGTTTAAACATTATATCCGTAAGTAAGCTATGCATATATATTGTATATATATTTAACTACAATTATGACCGAACTTATATCAATCGCTCTTGTTGGCCTGGATGGTAGCGTGCATGAAAAACACCACGTGATCGGGTAGGTGACCCAATACTTTTTCACTCTAATCGGGAAATCTAACTCAGGCCGACTTGGAAACAGGCTATTTCGCTATTCAATGCGACACACGACCACCTAGATAATATCTTATTGTTATTTTATATCCGTTACAGCTGGACAAAATCTTTTCATTTGGAAACACCTTACTACTGTGACGTTTTTTGCATATCTGTTAAACTTCAGAATATGAATATATTAATAATATGATTCATGATTTAAGTTACACAAAACTAGCGAAACGGTTTACGCATATATCCAGCACTACAGTATTGTAAAAAAAAAAGACGTTAAAAATACATAACTTCCCTACGGTATGATAACAGCGTAAATGGTCATACACATGTATCTGGTTCATACACATGCCCCTGATGACATAAAATGTACAATGAAAACATATCGTAAACAACACAACCTGTTATTTGCACATCATGGATGACTCTTCATCAAAGTCATGTTTATTGTCCGCATATTGAATAGGTCAGATACAAACCCTAGATGTCATTGCTGTGTACTTTAACATGACTGTGATCACTAATACGTTATATTGATAGGTTTGACAGTAAGCCGATTTGTAAATAATATTACATAAGAAAGATTTACGTGTGATGAATTCTAATAATGCATAGTTCCATAACCATTGCATGGAAGTTTTAACAAATTCCGCTGGTTTATTGGGAAAGGGGGTGCCAGTTATTTTACGACATGAACTCATCGTTTCACATATTGAGATACCTGTAGTATACATAAAAGAAGTGTCTGGAAAATGTCGGTAAAAATCAAATACATGATTCCGTTTAGCTAATATAGGCATTGTGATCATAAACAAGAACGACATTAGTACTACATAAGTATCATATTGTAAGAAGTGGAGACAAAGGAGAAAATAAAAAAAAGAGAAATAAGAGAGGAACGAGAGAAGGAAGAAAGGAAGAATCCACAGAGCTGGAAGAAGGGACAAGAGAAAGGAGATTCGACAGAGCTTGGGACAGGTATAGAAACGGACCGAGAAAGGCAAGACGCTATAGAGAGCTTGGGACAGGTATAGAAAAGGAACGAGAATGGCAAGACGCTAGAGAGGTTGGGAGATCTAGAGTTATAGAGTGTGTGTGTGTGTGTGTGTGTGTGTGTGTGTGGGGGGGGGGGGGGGGGGGGGAACTTAACCTTTTGGCATTTCTTTTTAGAGTAAACACATTTTTGAATACCTGAGTTACATGGACGTGATAAGAAAACGTATGTTACTCACCAACAATAAGTGCACAGAGGAACCAGGGACAAATTATATGGTTTAATTGTATTGTTGATTGATAAAGATATGTAAATGAACTGTACTTCTCTGTGGAACGGAAGGCATATCGGGTTTTATGGAGTCTTATTCATGTTTTTTTCTATATCTTTAACGTCCTTAAACTACTGAATCTCTTGTGGGTCATGTGGAGACAAGTGCAAAGATGAAACAAAGGCCAAGTAAAATATTGATGAATATACAGGTGCATAACTTGGAGAGCCAAGATAATCAACTCATCTCTATAGTAAAATGAGTACAATTTTATCTTATATGACACCGACGTATCTTGCTAGCTGTTTTTTTCTCTCCCATTTCCATCGTTTATTGTAAAAATGCCATATAAAAGGAAAGATTTTTTTAAATGCACATAAATGCAATAAACCTTCGTGAAAAATGTCAATATTCAGGACTCTCTGTAAAACTTTTGGAAATGAATATATTTGATGAAATCGTCTATAGCATAAACGACGATTTATGATTACTAGCGAAAATATTCAAAGAATAGCTCATCCCTACAATATATTGCAACAACGTCAACTAAAATAAAACATCGTTCAAAATTTTTGTAACAACGTCATTTAAAAAAATACATGCTGTCACAACAGTCATGTTACAACGTCAAATAAAGTAAAATATTCATCAAAACAGTAAGTTAACAGCGTCAGTTAAGGTCATATCGGTCTCATACAAATACCTCTGATGACACACGTTTCTGTACAATGTATGGATCACCACGGAACAGCAAACCAGTTGTGTGCACGTCACGCTTGGATCTTCATCATAGAAAGTCCTTCTTTATGACCTTGATACTGAATAGGTTACAGACCTTAGAAATAAGATACACATATGTCCTAACCAAGACATTTAACATGATGTTATGAACTTATACATCATTTTATTGGGTTTGACAGAGAGACAATTGGTGAATAATTTCACATAAAAATATTTACGCATGCTAATTTTCTACAAAAAGAAATAATTGTTTATCCTATAATTCTATTGAAAAATCGTAGAATTAATGTGATGGCTTGAAAATATCTACAAACTAAAACTGCCGAAGTTAGCCCACTGAACCGGTAACATTCCAACCTCACAAACAAGGTACATTTCTCCAGATTACATATGTTATTGCCCAATAGGCTATTTATGACTCCAGGAGAGGCTCTGTCGATGGCGAGGGGAAACAGAAAATGCGGTTTCCCTTCCATAAAGACAGTAAACATTTTATTATATTAAATAAAACAATAACATTACACTTGAGATAAACAAGATCCAACCATTGTTGTCGTCTGTTTCAGTTACTCGGAATTATGGTTTGTTACCTTTTGCTCAATGTTAGAGAGACCCCGATCAAATGAGCAAAATATGACCGAGCAAACTCGAGATCATGAGGAACACACAACTATTACTTCGCCGTAATGTGATAAAAAATACAATCCGAAACGCCATTATGTATATAAGAAATAATAAGTTATTCTTTGAACGATATGGGTTATACATTAAAAACAATTCAGCCTGATTTTGTTTATAAAACGGAATAGTTTTCACCTATTGAGATAGATGTAGCGTTGTTGAAAAAGTTGGTGTAAAATTGTAAGGAGAGGAGCAAAAAGAGAAAAAGGGAGGCGATGGACAGGTACAATGAGGGAACAAGAAAAGAAGGAATCGAGAGAGCTAGGGACAGATATTAAAATGGGACGAGAGAAAGAAGAATCGGCAAATGAACAGTTAAAGAGAGGGGAGAAGAGAAAGAAGAATCAAAAACGCTAGGGACAGTATTCGGTAAGATATGGACAGTTAAAGAGAAGGGACGAAAGAAGAAAGAATCGAGAGAGCAAGGTACAGTTATAGGGAAGGGACAAGAGAAGGAAGAATCGAGAGAGATATGGACAGGTATAGAAAGGGGACAAAAGAAAAAATAAGCAACAGAGCTTGGGACAGGCATAGCAACTTATTTGTAGACAAGCCAGAACTTGTCAGTTGAACCCTTATAAATAGTTCAGTGTCCTTTTTGGGAAAGTAATACCCTGTCCATAAAGGCGCGTATCTGTATATTTGTGTGGTTTTTGGAATGGAATTTTCAAAAGGCAAATGCTATTGGAATTTAGGTACTTGGTATGTAGATTCGAGATGTACATGGACTCTTGGGCGTTTGCGTTAGTGTTGTTTAACATTTTTTTTATAGCAAACATATTTGACAATACCTGCGTTACATTATGTACGTGATAAAAAAGACTTCGGGTAACAAAACACCAATAAGTTCCCTGAACATAACCTGAGCTAATGATCTGTATTTCATTTTATTGTTGACTAGTTTAGACATTGAAGTCTGCTCGAGTTGCATAGGGTCCTTTTAATGAAATCTTGGGGGTTTTACACATTTTTTTCGTCCTTGCGACATTAAGGTCATATGAAGACGACTGCCTTGACTGCAAATCAGGCAAAATATCAATGAATACATGCACAACTTGGAGTGGAGTCCATTGGCAATCACATCCATGACATAGTGAAATGAGTTCTACGTTGTATTTGATTTAAGACGTCGCCTACGTATCTTTCA